ACCTGAGTGGGTGTCAAGGGCTGGCTGGGGAAAGACCCAAAGGTAAGGCATCCCGAGTGGAGGGGCTTTTGTGATGGTCGGGTATGGAGCGTGTTCCTAGACCTGCTAAAGGCCAAAGCAACTGCAGAGACACAAGAGGTCTGGCAGAGACTCGGACGCGAGATCACGCACGCACAGTGATGCGTGATGGCGTCCAGAGGACAGGTAGCTCGGAGACTCTAAAGCGTGGGCACAGGGGAGGAGACGTAGGGCTGGAGGAGCCGGAGATCCAAAGGGAGGATTTCAGAAATGAAGGTGTTAGAAAAGGTTTTTCGTATAGTTCAAAAGCACGCGTGCTACACCTACTGAGGCCTGCGCACCTAGAGCCCGTGCTCCGCAACAAGAGAAGCCACCGCAATGAGAAGCCCGCGCGCCGCAACGAACAGTGGCCCCCGCTCGCCGCAACTAGAGAAAGCCCGCGCGCAGCAACAAAGACCCAACGCAGCCAAACATAAATTTTAAAAGTATTAAAAAAAAATAAAGATGTACTCTTTATACTCCAACCCTATAATTATTTAGCATTGATAGATCATGCCATAATTACTGAGTACTTTATAAACATTTGGCTAAATTTCTCTTTAAAACAGCCATATCCTCAAGTGGGGAGAGAGAATTCCTACAAAGTCATGAGCATGTCCTGCCAAGAGTGTGGTGGTGGAGTGGACACACACTGGAGAGAGGGTCTACACAGTGGAGGCTCTCTAGCCACGGCCCCACCCCCACCCCGCCCCAGTTCGTCCTCACTTCTACCCTTGAGCACCACCAGCCCTTCAGAGAACCCTGCACTCGTCCGGCAGGCCCATTCCACTGCACTGCAGCCCGGGAGGGTGATGCCACAGATGCCACGTTACGTCAGCTCCAGAACGGCAGGAGCTATGCCTACAGATACTTGGGATGCCCCAGCATGTGGCACATGACGTCAGAAGTGGGAACCGTGCCAGTCTGCAAATGTTGCTGGCATCTCCTGGCAGGCATTACAGGAATGGTCCCTGGAGCAGGCTCCACCTGGCCCTGCCACCCTGACCACGTTCCCTCTGGGTCATCTCTCGGCCCCAGAATCCTCATCTTTAATGGGACAGTAACAGCACAGACCTCACAGGGTTCCTTAAGGATTAAACAAGTTAATTTGTCCTCCTATGTGGGGCATATAATGAAGAGGTTAAGAGTTTAGAATCGTACAAACCTGGGTTCTGTTCCTAGCTCCACCTTTTACAAGCTATTGCTCTGAGACAAGGTGGGTAACCTCTCACTACAACTCAGGTTCTAGATCTTTATCATGGGAGTAACAACATCTTTCTCAGGAAGTTTGTAAGCATGAAGTGTAATAAAGTAGGTAACAAACACTCCATCATGCCCAGAACACAGCGCCACCTAAATGCAAATGCACACTGACCCTCTCCTCCATCCACTGATTCCGGGACGGCAGGTGGGGTGGTGGAGACGACAGGAACTCACACTTGTTTGCACCTGAGGGTCTCAAAGACCTTCCGTATACACATCACGCACTCTCCAAGCCCTGCTCTTACAGTGAGGTCCGAGGACCGCGGCAGCATTGCCTGCTCACCGGCGAGTGCCTTAGAAACACACCTGAGATCCTGCATCTCATGCCCATCCCAGATCCACCGACTCGGAATCTGTATTTCAACAAGATCCCCAAGTGACTCACATACGCATTAAAGTGGAGAATCGCTCCAGAGTTCGCCCTCCAAACTAAGACTGCCCATCATTTCTGGTTATGTCACCAGGTCCTTGTGACAATCTCTCTAAGCCTCAGTTTCCCTAAGTGTAAACAGGGTCACATGCACTACCTACCTCGAGGGGTGGTGTGAGGGTAAAAAGAGAGTCCAGGTAAAGCTTTCAGCAAGAGCCGTGGCACATAGTAACAAGTGCTGGCAATTTAGGTATATATTTAGATTACTTAGGTAGCAGTTTAGCTGTTATGTTATCTCAGGGCATCTTTACAAGATCACTGTGCTGCTCTGGGCAGAACAGGTATTATCACCTTCATTCCCCGGGGGGGGGGGGGAGAGGATGGAAGACAGAACGGGAGGGGGCAGAGGGTGAGGGGGTGGGGAGAGGCTGGACGGGGAGAAAGAAGAGGTGTTTGCGGGAGAGGCCCGCAGAAGAATGAGAGAGATTAGGGGGAAGAGAGTGGGGGAGGGGGGCTGGATTTGAGAGAAGGGAGGATGGAGTTAAAAGAGGGTCGGATGCAGATGGGGCTAAAAGGGGAAAAGGAGCAGGAGAGCTGGGGATTGGGGAGGAGGAAACGGGAAAAGGAGAGAACAAGGAAGCGGAAGAAAATCAGTGCAGAAAAGAAAGCAGCGGTTAATTTCCCATCAGCTGGGCCCAAGAGAAAGTTCTGGGCTGAGGGAGGGCACATGGAGAGGAGACTGGCTGGGGGGGGGGGGGGGGGGGGCGGGTGGGCAGTGGGTATTCAGAGGCTCAGGGAGTTCAAGTGATGTGATGTGGATGGAGGCTGGATTTAGCATCTTGAGAGCATGTGGAAGTCCCAGCAGGAGAGAAAGGCTGTGCTCACCCCCTTGCCTACAGAACAGTCTGTCTGGAGACATCCTGAATAGAGCCCACTGCACTTGTCCTGTCCAGCTAACCAAAGCTGTCACATCAACCCTGAAAACAGCCAGGTAGTAGCACCTGCCACAGCCAGGTCACCTCAGCCGGACTAGAACCCAAGTTTTCTGACCCTAAAGTCCGCTTCCCCTCACACTCCAGTGCATCTGCTTCTGGCTCGGTCAATCCTGGTGGAAAGAGTAATGCTTTCCCTAAAGGCCTTTAGTAGGTGAGATTCCTTACAGTTTAGGTACCTGGAGAGTCTCCCTCACGATCACACCTGAACGTGCAGTGTTTATGGTTTCAATAGTTTCAATCAGAGATCGGGACAGATTTTAACCAGAGGTTACTGGAAGCAGGACATAGGACAGAACGAGTGTATCCACAGACCAGGACTAACTGGGCACATTGCAGGCCTGCCTTTGCCTTTCGTGTGGCCTTGAAGCCAGCAGGGAGCTTCGGGGGTCACGTGGAAGCCCCGGGGGCTTGGAAGGAGGTGGAAGCCTTTCCCTGTTCTGAACCACTTTCCAAATTCAGTAAAATTGAATTTTAACCCTCATTTGGCCTGTACCCGCACCCCAGCCAACAGACGGGTTTATAAGTACGTTTTTCAGACTGCTTGATGGTTAACTATAAAGAAAAAGGACGAAGAAACCTATGGAGAAAACAGGCAGAAGGGTGATCTTGGGGCGGCCAGAGGCCTGGGATACCCTGGTGGTGACGTTGACCGCGGTGTCGGACTGGCTTCTCCTCTCCGACTGGCCCTCACACTGCCTGGGACCCACAGCTGGGCGTTGCTTGTCAGAAGTCATGTCGTTCTGCGACTTGGAGAGTTCTAGAAAATCAATACAAGGATGACAGGTGGGAGCGTGCAGCTTTGCCAGAACCTGTGGGAACCCTCCTCCGGGATTCCTGCACCCCGAGCTCTGGGGCCAGGAGAGTCCCCGACACCACGCTGGACCCGGGGCACCTGCACAGCACCGAGGGGCTGGATCCTGAACGTGGGTGACTGTGTGCCCCCACGTCTCTGCAGGCGGAGCCACTGTCAGGGTGGGGTTCACGGGCAACCTCCCGACCCAGGTTACTCTGCATTCAGGGCATACGTCCCGAGTGTCCGGTTGTCCAAATGCAAAGAAGGCAGCCGAACAAACCAGCTGGTTTTTTTACAAAGATTGTATAACTAGATACCACATCTTGAGATGAAAGCAAGACTTGAGGTATCCTTATAACAATTTCGGGAAGCAAACCCTGAAAAGATGACTTAAAATTTTTTTTTTTGCAGTATAATAGTCTAGAATAAAGATGAGTGAAGGGAAGAGGAAGGACCCACACACAGTGAGAGCCTCTCAAAGGTGAGTGCGTCCTTTAAAAAGAGCTTCCTTTTCCCATGAGATCCTTGTCTCTATCTTGAAACTACCTTTAGAGTAGCACCATCCAACAGGGAGATAATACAGCTCACGTATGTCATTTTAAATATTCTAGTGACCTCACTTTAAAAACTAAAAAGAAACAGGTAAAATTAATTTTAATACTATATTTCATTTAATGCAAAATACCCAATGTATTGTGAAAATATACAACCGATATTAAAATTATTAATGAAAAATTTCACTCTTTTTTCGATACTAAGTTTCCAGAATTCAATGTGTATTTCACTCCGGCCCCATTTCAAGAGCCACGTGTGCTTAGAGGTTACCATATAGGACAGCGCAACTCCAGAGCACCCCTCTGTCTTCTGATCCACCATGAATCCTCATGCTTTGCTATTTATTAGGTATCTCCTGCATGCACTGAGCACGGGTAAGGCTGTGGATCATCTCTTTTCTCTAGAGGAGATCCTGCACATGCCCCGCCAAAGCGCCCGGGTATTCATCTTTTCCCCCAAGAAGTCTACTGTCTGGAATCTTTGGGGCATCCTTCTACACCAGGCAGCTAGAAAGGTCCCAACACACACCAGACCCTCAGAGCTGTCGCTGATGCAAATACAGGTGGAGGGGTGAAGGGCCCAGGGCTGTGGCTTTCCCCAGGAGCCAGAGACAGAGAGTGGCCCTTCCACCGCCAAGGTCACCGGCCAGGCCTTGGCCAGTGGGAATGGCTGGCCTGGACAGTGGTAGAAAACCCCCTGGAGAAGCAACCACTTACTTTTCATGTGGGTGGTAACAGACAGAAACAAATTTTCCACAGACTTATTAAATCCTTTAAACTGACCAAGTTCCTGGAACTAAAACAGAGACGGAAGGGGAGAGAATGAGAGTTATGTCTGATGACCTGTGTTTGCCCTGGCAGCCTCCAGGCCGCCAACCCCCAAACCCTGGCACGTGTGGGCGAGGGTGGGTGTGCGTTCTCAGGTTGTGTGCGGACGTGCGTGTGTGTCTGGGGCAGAGGACACTGTCCTCTCTTTACTCAGCTTCTCTCCTCTGAGTTTTGACACCTGCATTAAAGGCAGGGGCATCAACATGGGGCTGTTGACAAGATAGCAACTATCCCATAGGAATAACAGCTGACACTTCATGGGCTCAAAGACTGTACCAAGTAAATTCCTGCTTCTTTAGCCTCCTTCTCTTAGGAACCCACCCCAGCTCTGCACAGAAGGGACGCCAATACAGGCAGAATGCACGTGACACAAAGGCTGAAGGTGGTACCAGGGACAAGGTAAGCAGACTGGAGCCAAGGGTTAGCTCCACCTCCCACAACAGAAGAGAGAAGCAAAAGGAAGAGAAACAAGAGAAATGGGATCCCTCCCCTGTGCGAGTCTCATCCACCCATCCATCCATCCACCCAACCCATCCATCCACCCAACCCATCCATCCACCCATCCATCCACCCACCCACCCATCCACCCACCCATCCATCCCAGGAATATGTCTTGAGCACATCTGTAACTTCAGAGCACTTAAAATCTCTCTCTAGGAGAAAGTAGAACAGAATTTTGAAGGTCACTCCGGGGTCTCAGTTTGAAATTGAAGAATATATATTCTCTCTCTCTCACCAGCAGACAGGTATATCCTCCTCTGTACAGATATAGTTACTCCCCTTAATACACAGAGTAATAATGAAAATAATCAAGACCATGTGTTTCTATGGCACTTTATAGTTTCCAAGTACCAGCAGAGACGTTATTTTGTTCATTTCTCACACCAGCCATGGGAGGTGAACCAGACGAGAAGAATTATTTCCACGTCCCAGGTGGGAGCCCAGGTAAGTCCCCCATGATCACACAGCTAACTTCCTTGGACGGAAACAGTCCTGGTCTTCTTTACGTTAGCGCCTACAAACCCTCAAAGACACACACGCTCATTTCCACAGATACTCCCAGGCCTGCAAATCACACACCTGTGCATCAACCTGTATTTCCCTTTCCGCCCCCAGAGACACCTGACACGTGGCAGCCCATCCAGAACCCCACGCTCAAGGGCACAGTTAGGGGAGAGAACCAACAAAATGACAAGAGTAAAAAGATGGGGATGCGGGGTGCAGGCGAGGACATGGGGTACAGGCAGCAGATGCATCCACTGACAGTGCGGGGGACGGGCGGATGGTCCCATGGCCCCCAGAGCATGATGGAAGCGCAGACACCAGGCAGGGCCCAGCACTCCCCAGCCTCCGATCGGGGCCCCCATCCTCTCGCCTCATGACCCACTCCAGCCATGGCTGGATCCCTTTGCCGTGAAGCTCAAGCTCGCAGGTCCCCTCCCTTCCACTACATCTCTCGCATTTCCCCTTCCCAGGAGGCACACAGAACAGGCACATTACCCTGCCAGGGCCGCCGCCGCACTGGCTTTCACTGAGAGGGGGTGGAGAAGGAACCACGGAAATTGTGCTGCCGAGGAAAAATACAAGGGTAAGAAAGGAGTTATGAGTCTTAAAATATTAGTCTTAGAAATACACAACATTTGTACTTATCCTATAATTCAAGTTCTCTGCCTTTTTTTTTTTTTTTTAAACACTGCCTCACTTTTCAGAAGAGGGGTCAGCAGCCCGCCTGGATCTGCTCTGCACAGGGCCTGATTCCCTGGGGGCTGGAATGTGGGAAATGGGCGTCATGTGGTCTGAGGTCTGGGCCTTGCACTCCACCTGTGTGTTGCAAAATAGCTGGGGTGCTCAGGACCGGCTCTGTGGCCTGGCTGCTCTGGAATCTGGGCTCCACACGTGTGTGCCGTGTGGACTTGAGCGTCCTCTCAGTGGACACCATGCAGCAGAATGCCCCAAATGTCATGGATGTAAAAATTGACCATAAGAGTGATTAGAAGTTTGTGCTAAAAGAAGTGGGTGGGGGGTGGGGGGATGGAGTAAAAACATGAAAAAGTCCTGAGATTGGAAAATCTCACCATGAGCGAGAAGAAAGCTGCTGGTGGAGAGCTTCCAGTAATACTTTAATAAGTTCAGCACAGTCAGGTGTGTGAATTACTGCTAGCTTCAGGATGGCTGGGCGTTCAGTAAAGTTACTATGTCTCAGGCCAATATTCAAATCCACCAATGTTTATTCCACAAATGTCTCCAAGGCGTCAAGCACTGGGCAAGATGTTGGCGACATGAATGATTCATAAAGGCAAATGCTTGGTTTAGAATCTCACTGGATGTGCCATCAAAAACAATATTTACTTTCCTTACAAGATTTCAGAATTCAAAAAACAAAATGTTTTGTGAGAAAATCCTACGCTAGCTCCTTCTAGCTTTTCGTAAGAATCTGGAAACATCTCTGAATCTTTCTCAGGCACTTTATCATCTTTTTAAAAAAAAGTTACATTCCAAAGCAGTGACATCTGAAAGTCAAGAGATCTGTAAGTTCTTTCAGCACAGTCCTTAGTGCTCTAGCCCCTGAGGGCCCAGGACGGCCTGTCCTTTGACAACACTCACCTCAGCTTCTGATAAGATTGCAAGAGCTTTGCTCCAGCTGTCTCATGCTTGCCTGGAAGAGATAACAATAAAGGTCATTTATTACTAAGAATATAACTTAGATGATGCAGATATAGGACATAATAAATTTAAATTATTTTTCTAATATCACATCTTGTGATTAAAAAGACACCATTTTGGGGGTGACAGAGATGCTCTAAAATCAGACTATAGTGATGCACAACTCCATACATTTACCAAAAATCATGAAATTGTACATTTAAATAGGTGAATTTTGTGTTATATAAATTATGTTCCACTAAAGCTGCTGTTACACACACACACACACACACACACACACACACAGAGTAAGAGACCATACTTGCTGGAAATGACTGCTTTTATTGAAAGTTGATGCTGGATTAGATTTTTAAATTCTGGATAATTTGAAAACCAGTTCACACTTCTAAGCTTCCATTTGTCCTTCGGAAACATTTCATAACGGAATGACTACATTCCTTTAAACATTCTTTGTTATGGAGATTAATTCAATCTTTTAAAAAATGTAATCTACTTATTTCTAGTTATAGAGGCTAGTAAGTTCCTAAGTAAGACTCCATCTGATAATAGTACTCTTTTTGTTTCAAGGAAAGGGGATTTTATGATGTATTAAGACACCCAAAATAGAATTCTCCAAGTCTGCAGTTCTGTGAACACAATGTTTCCTGGCTCAATGCAAAGGGAGAGGTCAGCCCACTGCCACCCCAACCCCAGCTGGAGGCCAGAAGTGGATTCTGCTGCTCTGGGAAGTTCCCTAGAGGCTCCACAACGCCCAACACAGCTGAGAACCGCCAGACCTGCCACCCTAGGAGGTCAGTGGAGCTCCCGTCTTGTGTGTTTCAGAAGGCTTTAATCCATCCCAAAGAAAGACAGGTATTCACGTCTTCTCCGTAAGACAGGAGGAAGGGCGGGGATAGTAAGACAATCAGGAATTAACAGGGAGGCCTTTGGGAGGAGGGCATATGGCTCTGATATCAAGTCCAAAACCTTAAAGCCGGGGACAACTAACACCTCAGCTGACCGCCACCGTCAGGGGTCCTAAATTAGGGGGCTCAGGGAGCACATCGGCCCTGAAATCCTATCTCAGATTTTGAGTCCAACTGCCCGTGTGCGTTGTTCTGGGGTTCACAATGGTGGTCACCAAATCCTAACAGGAGTCTCTGAGCCATGTCCCTGCCCCACCACAAAATAATTCTTTAAGAACAAAAAAGGCCTCACCCAAAGGCTGAGTACTCAACTAGCAGAAACAGCTGGTAATGGGTGAAATCCCATATCTGCAGGACCCACAGGAAAGAAGAGAGCCAGGCCAGAAGCAAAAAGAGAGCCACCCTAAGTGCACTGGAGTTGCGAAAGCAGAGAAAAACAAGGCCAAGAGAAAGAAGAGAGAGAGAGAGACGCCGTTCGTCCAGCCTGTCCTGGGCGAAAATGCAGAATCCAGGGGACAGGGCACTGGCGAGCGGTGGGCTGTGTCACAGCTCAGGTGCTGCCGGCCCCTCCCCACTGCCCTGCCACCTCAGCCCCTCGTCCTCTCGACCCTGGACTATTGTGGTCGCTTCCCAGAGGCACAGCCACCAGCTACAGCCCCTCCCTCCAAGCTGATGCTCTCTCTCCTCAGCTTACAGTTCCCCCAGTGGCTCCCTACTGCCTTCGCAGAGGTCCCAGCCCCACTGGCATCCCTGGGCCTCCAGCCCGTATCTCCACTTACCCTGCACCACCTCCCTGGGCTAATTGCCCTTCTACCTCAGGCCCATACCTCCCTCCTAAACCCCAGCTTAGGCCCTGTCGCATTTCTAAATACCCCTCCTGAGCCCCGGGAGGCCCGGCCCACGCACAGATCTCTGCTGCCCCCTGCTGGCTGCACCGGGCCGCACCGCCAGATGGCAAACATTCTAGGCTTTATGCCTTCTCTGTCCCATGCCCTCAACGTTGCACTTGGGACGGCAGCCACAGACAATGTTAAAGAGTGGGGGTGTGTCTGTGTTCTGGATAGTGGACATCGAAATTTGAATTTCCTGTGTTTTGTGTGTCACAAATATTATTCTTTTGACCATTAAAAATTGTAACACCCGTTCTTAGCTCATGGGAAGTATGAAAACAGGCAGAAGGATAGGTTTGGGCCATGGGACCTAGTTTGCCCCACGTCCTCCAGGTGTAGATGGCGGCCCTCGGCAGGGCACCAGTGGGGAGCTTGTGAGCAATGCAGAGTCCCAGGCCAACCCTAGCCCTGCAGGGTGGGCCTCTGCTCGCTGAAGGTTGAGGAGTGCCACCCTGTGGCTCTGCCCCTGTTTATTGCCATTTTGCTTTATTTCCCCCTTCTGTTCCTCAGCCATTTCTTACCAGAGGCTTCCTTAAAAAGCACTAAATATTTACTTGTTAACATTTTTCTTTTAATGCATGTAACTACTATGAGGAAATGCTTGTGGAAAGACGCCCCCTCCTTCCCCCAAGGTCTCCTGACAGGCAGGCTGGGGCCCTGCTCTGGCCGCCTCGTTAGGCTTCACAGGGAGCAGCTGTGGGTCAGGGCCCCCAGGATCCTAGGCTTTGGGGCACATTCAGGGAGGCGCAGTGTCATTTATTAGAAGCTAACTGTCCGCCATGGGCTGTGCGGGGCACTCTGCATGCACCTGCTCCGTGGTTTGTCACCAGGTGTCATCCCAGTTCTGTAAGTGAAAACCGAGGCTCACGAGTATTATGCAGCAGGTCCTGGGCTCAGCTCTCCCTGCTGCCACCCACCCTCCGGAGGACACACGATGTTCTGTCCTCTGCTAGTAACTCACAGCTCAAGTGGCTACAAAAGAAACTTCGACCAGCATAAGAAAGCTGCTTAGGGTTGAGCTGTGTCCCCTATGAAAAGATATGTTGAAGCCCTACCCACAGGCAACTGTGAATATGACCTTATTTGGAGACAGAGTCTTTGCAGATCAAGTTCAGGTGAGGACATTAGGGCGGGTCCTGAGCCAATAGGACTGGTGTCCTTGTAAAAAGGGAAAATTTGGACACAGAGGCAGACAGGCCCAGAGGAAAGGTAAGGAGGCGATGGCGGTGTCACAACAGAGGCAGAGACTGGAGTGGTGTGTCCACAAGCCAAGGAACACCAAGGGTCGCTGGGTACCGACAGGAGCTGGAAGAGGCAGCGAGAGATTCTCCCCGAGAGCCCGCAGAGGAAGCATGGTCCCTCTGACAACTTGACTTTGGACTTCCAGCCTCCAGAACTGAGACAATACGTCTCTGCTGTTCAAAGCCACCCAGTTTGCACTTTGTTACAGCAGCCGGGGAAAGCTACTACAGAGGCCCCGTGTGATTCGGTCCCTCCCACCTGCTGCCACCCCTGTCCCATTTGCAGGTCCAGCTGAAGCTGCACTTCCCTGGTGCCCACACCTCTTCCACACCACTTGCTCTGTCCTCCTAGTGGTTTATTCTCCAGATTCTGAGCCTGTCCTCACCAGGCTGGTCTCCTCATGGGTGCCACGCACACTTGCTTTGAAATTCCTCCGACTGCACTGCAATCACTGGCATATGTCTGTCTCCCCCACTAGACGGTGACAACTTTGAGGGCACGGGCCTTGTCGTATGTATCTCAGTGTCCCCAGCACCCAGCAGAGGGCTTGCCATGAAGAGGTGGTTACAATAAATGACAACAATAGAAACCAGCGCTATTTTAATAAGAAGCGTGACATCATTTAATAAGCCGTACCAAATATGTATGAAACAAGGTCATCACTTTTTCACCGCTTGGCCTAATTTCATCCATTTGTTCACATTAATTGCATGTAATACACATGGGCTCTTTACAGAGTTAAGGATAATGGGACACAACCTCTGCTCATAAGCAGGAGCTTATGATACTGTAAGCGTCCCCATGAACCACAGGACGGAGCAGAGGCTTCTAGATAAAAAGCAACCTGCAACTGGCACAAGCACATCCGTGGCATCATTATCCATCTAAGTACTACTGTATACACTGTGTCTATCTACTTCCCCATCTAAAAACAACAGGGATAAGGCAACACGCTTCAGGTGTTCATAAACAGTCCTCTAGAATGGATGCCCATCTTGAGCCAGGCTCCAGTGTGACACTGGCCGAGAACACCAGTTGCCTACCAGCCAGCACCCTGGGCCTCAGGTCCTGCCACAGATACCATGCCCTGTCACCCCGACATCTCTCTCTGGGGTGACATGGTTCCCAGGAAAGAGGGCACAGGGCAGACTCCCTGGAATGCTCCAGTGCAACTCTGTCAACCAGCCACATCACGTGGTCATAGGTGACTGCAGGGCCTCACATCCTGAAGCATGGGATCTGTGTAGCTTAGTCTTTTTCCAAGACATGGTCGTTAACTTCCCCTCCTACACTGTAAGGCCCCACAGAAGTCCTTCACCACGTAAAGTCACGGACACCCGGAGAGCCATGTCAGACGGCTGTGGAGCGAACAGACAGCACCAACAAACGGAAGGGTGGCCTGGCCCAGAGCCGTCTCTCTGCTGGGGCGCATGGAGCGGGAGAGAAGCATCCTTCGAGGAAACCATACCGTGCAGTTCCAGGTGTGGCCCAAAGCAAAGCACAGGTAGGTCTACCCATGCAGAGCCTCCCTGGGAACTATACAAATACACTCCTTCATCAAAGATGCTTTGTCCGCCCCTAAGAGTTGCTTGTAATATATGGATTTTGTTAGAAATTTTGCTGCACCTTCCAGAAAAATCATCACAATAAACACACAAACGTAGGATGTCTGTGATGTGAACAGTAGCCCCTCAGATGTGGCTCCCTTGTACAGTGCCCAACCTGTACAACTGTATGCGACAGTCCTGAGGGTTGGCCCACACTGGAGCTTAAGTACCCTCCAAATGCTAGAAAAAGGTGACTAAAACCAGAGGTTCGGTGTGTGTTTTGGCGGGGGGTGGGGGGTGGGTATTGGACAATTATAATCTGTTTCAGGACTTTTTTCTTTCATAGGAAAGAAAAAGGTCTCTAGGACAAATAAGTGAACCTTTGGCTCACTTATGCAAAATGGAAAA